GGGGGGTGTCCTGAGTGGGATGTTTCTGACCACTCTGCCCCTGCTCCTACAGGGAAGGGGCAAGGAAGGAGCCATTGGCTGTAGTGGGTTCTCCGTACTGGATGGCTCCAGAGGTGTTGCGGGGTGAGCTGTATGATGAGAAGGTAAGACATCGACCCTTCAGACCCCTAAGGCCTTCCAGAGACCCTTGAAATACTTACAAGGCCCCATCCCAAGTTCCTCAACAACCCTACCAGATATTCACGAGACCCTCAAGATCCCCCTTGCCCCTCAAGGCACCCCTCCAACACATGAAAACTGTCAAGCCTCCCCTCTGAATTCTGACATATTCTGACAAAATTCTGACATGAAAACTGTCAATTTCTCCCCCTGACATTTACTCTTACCCCCAGGCCGATGTCTTCGCTTTTGGGATCGTCCTCTGTGAGCTCATTGCGCGAGTACCAGCGGATCCTGATTACCTACCGCGTACTGAGGTGAATGATGTCTCCGGGTTTGAAAGGAGGAACTCCAGACTGGGCAGCTCGTAACCAAGGAGGGCTCCCTGGAGGTTCAGGTCCTGATTAGGGGGCAGAAGGAGAACCCAAGGAAAGCTGACTTGGAGGCCCCTCCTCTCTGTCCCCGCAGGACTTTGGCCTGGATGTGCCTGCTTTCCGGACCCTTGTAGGGGATGACTGCCCACTGCCTTTCCTGCTCCTGGCCATCCACTGCTGCAGTGTAAGAGCTCCCTCTCCCTCACTGCCCTCCGCCCCCATCCATCAGCTGACAAGGCTGTCCTGTCCCAGCTGATGGGAGGAAAACTCAGGGACCCTCTTTGGGAGCACTGAGTGAAGCTGCCCCTGTCTCTGCCTATCAGATGGAACCTAGCACTCGTGCTCCCTTCACCGAAATCACCCAGCACCTGGAGTGGATCCTGGAGCAGCTGCCTGAGCCAGCACCCCTCCCCAGGGCTCCCCTGACACACAGTCAGGGTAAGTGAGCATGACCTGACCCAGCTGAAGTCCTTTGCCTCTTTCCTCCTCAGAACTCAGGGAATCATCTGGGGGAGACTAAGCGTATTTATTAGTTGCGAAGGCTGGGGGTGGGGGTGGGGTGAAAGAAGACCGTTTCCTAATTCTAGAGCCTGAGGGAGAGGAAGAAGGAAAGAAGAGGTAAAAGGGGGCTGGAGGTGACATCTCCCCTTTCCAGAGCACCCTTTGGGACTCCCTTTTCTAAGCTCTAGTCCCCCCAGCCTCCTGGTGAATAATGAGGCCCTCAAGGAGCTATGATCAGTGCCGAGAACAGTGATCACAGACTTTTCTGTCTGCAGGCTCTGTTTCAAGAGGGGGTCCCTCTGCCACGCTTCCCAGGCCAGACCCCCGGCTCTCCCGAAGCCGGTCCGACCTCTTCCTGCCCCCATCACCAGAATCACCCCCCAACTGGGCAGACAGTCTGACTCGAGTCAACCCCTTCTCACTACGGGAAGACCTCAGGGGTGGCAAGATCAAGCTCCTGGACACACCCAGCAAGACAGTCGCCCCCCTGCCCCTTGTGCCACCATCACCACTGCCCTCCACCCAGCTGCCCCTGGTGACCACTCCAGAGACCCTGGTCCAGCCTGGGACACCAGCCCGCCGCTGCCGCTCGCTGCCATCATCCCCTGAGCTCCCCCGACGTATGGAGACAGCACTGCCAGGTCCTGGCCCTCCCACTGTGGGCCCCTCGGCCGAAGAAAGAATGGAGTGTGAGGGCAGTAGCCCTGAGCCAGAACCCCCAGGACCAGCTCCCCAGCTGCCCCTGGCCGTGGCCACAGACAACTTCATCAGCACTTGTTCCTCGGCCTCCCAGCCCTGGTCCCCTAGATCAGGACCTCCCCTTAACAACAACCCCCCAGCTGTGGTGGTGAACTCCCCACAAGCCTGGGCTGGGGAGTCCTGGAACCGGGCCCAGCATAGCCTGCCCCGGGCGGCAGCCCTGGAGCGGACAGAACCCTCACCGCCCCCTTCAGCTCCCCGGGAGTCTGACGAGGGGCTGCCCTGCCCCGGCTGCTGCCTTGGCCCCTTCAGTTTTGGCTTCTTGTCCATGTGCCCCCGCCCCACACCAGCTGTTGCCCGCTACCGCAATCTGAACTGTGAGGCGGGCAGTCTCCTCTGCCACCGTGGGCACCATGCCAAGCCACCCACACCCAGCCTGCAGCTGCCTGGGGCACGCTCTTAGCAGTGGGCCCTATGGTCTCAGGCCTCCAACTTTGGCCTTCGGGACGCCCTGTGAGGACAGAGCACAGATGCTGGACAGTGCCGGCCCCAGATGGGCTGACCCACCCTTCTCCCTGTATAGGAGAACCTCAGCATGGACTTGAGAGACAGAATATTTCCTATTCATCCCCTGGGCTTGCTCTCCCGTGGGAATCACTGAACCAGACACAGCATTGCTGATACACGAGACTAACACGTGCAAATTATTTAAAAATATTTCAATAAAACTGCCTGGCTGGCTCCGGGCTGCCCCTATCCGCTCAGCCGGTGCGCCCTCCTCACACTCCCCCCATTCCACTATGGGAGGTTCTTGGGGAGGCCAAAGTCTCTTCTAGAGGCTTCTTCACCCTTTTCCCAGGAGCAGTTCAGTTTGTGGGACAGGATTTCAAGCAGGCGGCAGGCTGTCTAGAAGTGTTGGGCGTGGATCAGCCCATGGCCGGGCACTGGCCAGGCAGAGTGAGGGAGCACTGGAGGGAGATGATCTCAGGACCTGCAGGCTGCAGGTTAGGATGAGGGGCACAGGCTCTTGTTGGCATGAGTATCTGGAGAGTAAAGCATCGGTGAGCTCCACAGTCGACTGTCAACTAAGAACTCTCATCCAGCTCACCCCATCTGCCCAGCTCCCTGGACAGCCACATCTCCGGCCTCCCTCAGTTCCATGTCTTCCCCGCCCAACCCCCCCTTACAGCAGACCAAGCCCGCGGAGGCTGTGGACATGACTGTCACTCCCAGGAACAAGTTTTCCCCCTGACCCCTGGACCCCTGCTCTGAGTCCCTCCTTCCCCCGGACTCCCAGGCCTCAGTCCCACCACTCACACTTACCCAGCTCAGTGCAAAGAGTGGTCCCCATCTGGATACCTGAAAGCTTCCATCTCACAGATGCAGGGAAGAGAGGATGAACACTTCTCCTGCTGCAATTTTGGCCAACTACTTTGTAGCTTGGCACATTTGGGGCTTTCAGTATAATACCTATAATCAAACCTGAAACAGTGGTGCAGTAGAACTGGGATAAGCTTTGCTTCCTCCTATCCTATCCTCTCTTCTGTCCCTTGCCCTGTATAGCACCTGACCCTGCCTGCCTAAGGCGACGCTAGGGCGTGGTTCACAGCGGAAGTCTGGACTCCAACCCAAAGAGGCTTTAGGACCAAGGGAAGGAGAAGCCTCCCAAGGTCTTAAAGATGGAAACTCCAGTTAGGGAACATAGGAGGTGACTACCTTATTTCAGCGTCCCTGGGGCTGATCCTCAAAGTAACCCCCCTACTCCCTTAATTACTTCCCTGGGGCAGCTGTAGTGCCCCAAGGGGCCCCGACTGAGAAAGTACCACCTCAGTGTGGGCAGCCTTGTCAAGGGACAGGAAATTAGAACTCCAGGGTTCTCCATCAGCTGTGAAGCCCTAGCTAAACCCTCAGCTTCTCCCTCCGAGAGAAAGATGACATAGGTCCCAACCTAGTAATTAAAAAAAAAGGCATGTGCCAAGGACTGCTAGGTACTGGGGATAGAATAGAGAATAGGACTGCCACAAAGAGTTATTAATCAAATGGAGGAAATGGACAAATCGGCAATTACAATATTTATTGTGAAAGAGTTTTGGGAGCAGGACCTGGAGGGAAATCTCATTACTATGTCTTTATGAAGGGATTATGGAGTTGGAAATGCCCAAAAGTCTTAACAAACTTACCCAGAGATTCTTGTGCCATCAATCCACTGCCAGTACTTGTTAAAGCTGAGGCCAATCCAATATGAATCAAGCTGACCAACTTGTGCCAACAGCTTGTTTAAGCTGCTGGGATAACCCTGAGGGGAGATTCAGAGAGTCCAGAGGTTTGGGGAGAGTGATGAGAAACATGGGAATGGGGGCGGGGGTGCGGGGAGGAGGGGACCTTGGCTGATGGAAGAAAATGAACACTCTAGGGAGGCCTATGCACTTTGACAAGAGGACTGTGTCCAACTTCGGTGCATGGCATCAGCTCATGGGTGACCTACCCCTGCATCCTTCAAGTGCCACCGTCCAGATGCGGGCTCACCCTTCAGTTCACCCCCAGCTGGGTAAGAATTTCCACGAGCCTTTGAAGGGCAGTCATTCTGTGGGCTGTTCTGGTCACAAGGAACCAGTCCCTACAATCCAGCCAACTAGGTATGGGACCGCTAGGCCTGAGAGGCCATGAGAGTCAAAGAACCTGTTAAGCAGCCCAGAAAGCTGACCAGAAAGCTGAGAAACAGATTAAAGAAAAGATGGTTCAGAAGTTTCAACTCTCATGCCAGCTCTAATCAGCTAGTAGGGGCCGCCTGGAGCACTGGGTTGAGAAGCTGCATGGAAAAGGAATGCAGGCCACAGCATGCAAGCCGTGTGTGCACTGCCATTCCTGACTTGACGACATATGTCCCTTTACCTAACAGTACCCACTACAGTCTGTGAACAAGAGTATGCTTACGAAATAAGGATGAGACACATCACTGAATGTGGCCAGGTCAGAGGACAGAGATTTACAGTGTTTTCGGCTCTCCTCCCAACTTCTCTGAGTAACTGAGACGTAAAAGCAACTCCTCTCGTTCAATACCCATCCCATGGGACAGCAGGTGTCTAAAAATCAGAAAGAGTGTGACAGCACAGCCAGACCCAGGCGGGAGATCTCAACACCTGGGGTGAAAGTGACCTCTCAGCAATCTGGTTGCTAATGGTGTTCCCCTGGGTCTAATCTCAGCACCTTCACTGACTTCTAGTCCTTGATCTTGGCAATCTTGCTTTCTTTTACCTCCCCTGAAAATGCCATACCTGTGTACACTTAGTAAAAGCCTTTCACATTCAGCAACTTTACTCCTTAACAACCTGGGAGGTTTATTGTAATAGAGCTGGTGGTACTATCCCCAATTTCTGAACGACTGCAGTCCACCCCCCTCCATTTTGGCTATCCTCACCTTGGCGCCCCCAAAAGTGTTCAGTAGGCCTCCCATTCATCTGATTAGCTCTCAAAAGCATTCCCCACTGCATATTCAAAACTCTCCCACACTCCTCGGGCTGCAGCTGCCTCCCTCCCTCTCCGCTCTTCCACAGTGGACAACCTTGGTACCTATTTTGCTGAAACTGTCAGACACTTGATGGGAACTTGCTCCATTTCCCTCCCCTGACCTCAAAATTTGTCTCTTCTCTATTCTTCTTTTCCTGAATATCCATAGAAATCAACATCCCTCTTTTTTATCCCACACCCCAGTCTGTGCTCCTGATCCTACCCTACCTCTCTCTATTGCTTGACTCTACCTCCATCACTCAAAAATCACTTCTTCTCCACGAGCTCTCTCTCTTCTGTCTACATTTTCTCATGTCCCCATCTAGCTACCCCTTGAGTTACTGTCCCACGGCAACTTAAAGGAGTAAAAAGAAGTCGGTGTAGCCAAATGGCAGAGGGCGAGGGGATAAGCGACATGCTGAAAGGTAGGCAGGGGCTTTGGAAGCCATGTTAAGGATTTTTTATTTTTATATTACAAGCAAAAGAAAGTCAATGTAGAGTTCACATAGAGGAATTTTGTTCACTGGCTATATATATCCCAAGAGCCTGGCATAGTGCGGGACATACAGTATGTATTCCACAACTTTTGTTGTAATTAAGTAACTGGAATGACATGATCTTAAGTGAGAGGATGTGATCAGGTTTTTGTTTTTAAAGGATTACCTTGGCTGCAATATGAAGAGTGGATTTGGTGGGGAAGTGCTTAGGAAAAACATTCAGCAAGCTGTTGAAGCTATTCTTGTAAGAGATGGGGCTGGGCAAAAACACAAATGGATATATAGACTTGGTGGTGGAAAATGGAGGGAATTCTGTGCTGGAGCAGGGCATCTGCTGATAGTGAGAGGGAAGGCAGTGGGTAAGGAGTTATTAAGGAGAACAAGCTGACCCCTGCTGCAGAGTTGCCAGGCAGCACTGAGGCCCCAGCTGAGGTTGAGACTAGAGGTTCAGTGGCACCAACCAGAATGATTGCATAATTTCTCATACTTGGGTGCAGGCATGGGCAAGGTGGGCAGTCAAGTTCACCCAGAGTTGACATACTGCAGTCAGGTACACAGAAGGACAATGGAACAAGGAGTGAGTGGTTGAAGTGATGGGCCCCAAAATCCAAGATGGGCATAGAGAAAAGTGAGGACGGACAGCTAGTGGAAAGGGAGGAAACGGGAGTCAGCGGGCGGGAGGCCTCAGTGTGGTTGAAGAAGAAGTGTGGAGAAGCGTGGAGGGGTGGGCAGTTGTGGTCAGAGTGGAGGTCTGAAACCTGCCTTTCAGCAGAAGAGCAGTTTGGGATACTGAGGTCTAGGGTGCAGCTGAGGGGACATGTGGCAGCACTGGCAAGGAACTGAGGGTCATAGAGAATAGGAAGGTTAAAGAAATGAGGGCTGGGGGTGTCCGCACATGATCTCGCTGTCTAAGCCTTGGGGGAGTATCCAGATGGCCCCTGAGCTAGACAGAGCCTAACCTCAAACATAGATAACCAGTTCATGAACACACCAGTCCCCTTGGGCCTGGCACCCTGCCTCGAACCTCAGCCTGCTTTGGCACAGCCTCTCCCCTTTTATGTGTCCCATCCCTCATCCCCACATACCGGCTTGACTCCTGCTCTTAAAATGGATGAACACTCCACCCCAATTCCCTACCCCGCGAAACCCCCACCCACCTCACTGTGAGTGCCACCCACACTCGAGAGCTTCAGCTGCCTTGCCCTACCACCAGACTGCACCTTGTCAATCAGTAGTTCTCTATCTTTTGGGGAATCTCAGATGTAGTGAGAATTAATTAAAGCTATAGACCCTTTCTTTAGAAATATGGGCAAACAACCAATTTCACATCCAAATTCAGGGAGTTTCCAGATCCTTGACACTGATGTCAAGCCAGATGAGACCTGAGTTTGCTGCTTTGGACAGTATGATTTGCATTGCTGGCTGCTACCCTCCTCTCCACCTCAGGATCCGCCTTAAAGCTGGGCGAGTCCCCCTAACTCCAGTATGCAGCTAGATCCTTCTCCCTGTTGGTCAAGGCTGCACAGCTCATGTCAGCCACCACTCTGGTTCACTACTCCTTTCCTGAACAAGTCAGTGGCCCCCTGATAGACAGACAGACCGCTGCCCCGAGTGTCTCCTCACTTCAATCCATCCCTCACAGCAGACCCTCCCATTTCTCCTCTCCCAGAGCAGATACCTGATGAGGGGCATGTGAAGAAGGGCCTCAGTGTGTCCTGCATGCTGCTCAGCCTCTGTTTCAGGTTCCTCCTCTCCTCCTCCTCCCTTTGCAAGTCCTCTTTTGTCTTCTCCCTGTCGGACTGGCAGGCCTGTAACTGCTCTTTGGTAGCCAGGCCAACTTTCTGTTCCACCTGCAGTGCTTCCTGAGTCTGGGCCAGCTCCCTATGGGACCCCTGCAGAGCTGCTTCCCTCTGCCCCAACTGGGTCATCTTTTGGGTGAGCTGCTGCCTCAGGCTGCTGTTAGTGGCTTCCAGAACCCTGTTCATCTGCTGGAGCTGCTGAGACACCTGCAGATCTGTTTGGCCATAAAGAGAGATTTGGAGGGTGTCTTCTTCAGCCGCACCCTGGTGCCCCGAGACTTCAGTGCCAGTCCTTTTTCTGCTTCCTGCAACTTTCTGCATAACAGGCTGAAATATAGGATCTGACCACCTACAGCTTAAGGAGGTACTGGATTAGGTAAGGACAATTTAGGAAGATGGCCTTCTAAAACAGACCTGGCTGGAAACCAGACGGAAAGCTAAGGATGTGGTGGTAGTGCCCCTGGGCCTTGCCGAGGAAGGGCACCCGTTGGGGAGAGCAGAGGAGAAAGTCGTTAGGGGTAAGTGGGAAGTGGGGGTCAGCCATACTCACAGCGCACTCCCAGGCAGATGGAGGCCACCCCCAGCAGCAGGCAGGTGAGGAGCACGCCGAGCACGAGGTACTGCCTGAAGGCTGCACGGCCTTAGGGAGACAGTGGGATGAGGCCGGTGAGCCCCAGGAACCAGTTTACAGACTGGGGGATGGGTGGGTGGGGAGATTCATGGGAAAGAGCATCCCTCATCCCTCGACGACCTGGGGCAGGCATGGCTGTTTGTGTCGGGAGTGAGTTTCCGCAGGTAGCGGAAGAAGGTGTTCCAGAATAAAGGCTGACGATTGTTACCGGTAAGGAGTGAGGGGCACTACCCGGTAGGAGTGGAACTGTCTCAGACCGAGACAGGGGAGTGGGTATGTGAATGGGACCATCGTAAGGAGGGCGGGGGGGGGGGGTCTGGGGCGACACGTCGGAAAGATCTATACGAGGACGAGTGAAGGAGGGGGGGAATGGTCCGGGGCCTCCCCGGCTCACCACCGACCAGAGCCGCCCCCGAGGGCCCCGCAGCGCCGGCCGGGACCCGCCCGGGGGCGCGCGTGCGCTGGGCGGGGGCGCCGCACTCACCGCGGAGGAGGCGCCCGGCCGCCGACGACGTCACGGAGCTCCGCGCGGCGGCCGGCGGCTGCGACTGGAGCCCTGCAGACCGGCGGCTCCAGCTGGAGGAGGGAGGCCCGGAACTGCCCCTTCCCCCACCCCGGGCTCCGCTGCGCCGGGGCCCCCAGCACTCCCGGGATCTCCCGTGTCCCTCCCGGGTCTACCTGCTCTTTCCCCGGGGACCCCCTCTTCTCCCGCCCGGGTCTCCCTTTATCCTTTCCTCAGGGGCCCTCATCTGCCGGTCCCAGACCCCCTCCCCAACCCTGCCTTCCCTCTCCGTAGACTCCCCATCCCCGCTGGGACTCCCCTCCCCCAGGGCTGTCCCGATCCCACAGCGGAGCCCTGATCTTCCCCTGGGATCTCCCCTGCCGCAGGGAGCTTCATTCTCCCCCTGGCTCCCTTTATCCAGTGCTCACGCTTTTCTTTCTTAAGAACCCTCTCCTTTCCCCAAGGATCTTGTCCTCCCAAGAATGCGGACTGTGGCCTCCCAGCTCAAGACACAGCCCCCGACGAACACATACCTGGGCTCTCCATACCTGCTTTGTCCCCTAGTCCAGCAGGAGCCGAGCTCGAGCCCCCTGGGACTGGGGGCACCTGTACGTTCTCATAGGTGAGTTCCCCGTCCTCGTCAGCCTCTGGATCTGGAGATGAGAGAAAAGGGAGCAAGGTGGGAGTCGGAATGGGGTCTATAGAGTGGGGATGGGTTATGAAGGAGGTTGGGGATGCAGAGTCAAGGAGACGGCTCATGCACCCTTACCCTGTCCTACTCGGCTGGCGATGCCCTTCTTCAGGGGAGCCTTCACAAACCGCAGGTCTGCATAGGTGATGGCCTCAGCCATGGTCCTGAGCTTCTCTGCCCCCACCTGTCTCCCCAGTCTCCCAATGGCCCAAAGCCTCCCTTGCCACGCTCCCCTCTGTCCCTTCACACTCGTAGGTTCTGGGTTCACTCTGTGACCACCCAGCTTAGTGCTCTGCCCTGTGACTTCCAGTCACAAAAGAGGAAGATGTGAGCAAGTCTCAGACAGATGGGTTTAGTGAAGCGGATTGCATCCTTGAGTCCTGGTCAGAGGAGCAGGGGAGGGCAAACTGAGGTCCAGAGCATGTGGTAGGGGTGGGGGTGTCACAGGACCACTACTCAGGCCTGTCCCTGTGTCCTGCCTGTGCTCCCCATCATGCATCCCAGACCCACTTGGGCGGTGCTGGGCTTCACGCCCATCCTTCTGCTCATCTACCCTGATCTGCCCCACACTTCTCTCCTGGCTGCAGCGTCCACAGGCATATCTATGCGTAGTCAGAGCTCTTTTGTGCTCAACTGACCCTAGAGGATCTCCCCAATGATTGCTCCAGGGTGGGGCTCCACCCTTCTCATCAGATTGGAGGGATTCTAGTGTGGAGCCCTAGTTCCTCATCATCCTGGGGTTCCCAGCAGGTATGGGTTCCCATAGAGGGGTCCCTAAATTGGTGAGGCGCATCACCCTATCAGTTTGGGGGCTTTCAGAGTGGACTCAGCTCCTCTCCTGCTGTAGTCCCACAGAGCTGCTGCAGATCCCACACACAGGGAGGTTCTCTGTCTGAAGCCCTTCCTGGGAGTGTGGTAGCCCTTTAGAGGATGCAGAGGGTCTGGGACCAAACTGTTTCTCCTCTGTAAACACCCCAGATCCCCTCTTCACAGCCTTGCCCTGGCCCCCTCCACCCTTGTTGCCAGAGTGATCACACCTGTGGCCAGTCAGCCCCTTCCTCATCCCATCTTGCCCCCTGCCAGACTCACAGTGTCCCCTGTGTCCCAGTATCTGAGCTGGATCCAGCAAGCTGAGTCCAGGAGCCAGGGGCTCTGGGATAGGCCTGGGCTGTCCTGAGGAGGAGGGACCACCCCAGCTTGTGGAAGAGCCTGCTGTACTGACCGCTCATGAACTCTTGTGGGGGGTCAGAGGGCAGGCGAGCAAAGGAGGATGAGGAAGGGCTGCAGCTTCTCAGAGGGGAGCAAAGAGACAAAGCAGCAGGGTGCTGAGCATACTCTGTACCAGCTGAGGGTTTGATATTTTCTTGGTTTGGTTGTGATTCCTCTCTTACTTCCCTAGTAAGATTCTTCTTTTAAAAAGTCCAAACATTGTCCCATTACACCCAGCCCCGAGGAAAAAGGAGCATTTATGGGGGAAGACTAGGGGCTGAGGGGCTCATTGGTGGTGAGGGCCTGGCTGATGGAGGAGGGGGACACAGTGGGGAGGAGGGAGCAGCTGAGCAGTGGTTCAGAGTTGCTCCCTAACGTTCTTTTACCAGGGTGTGACCCCAAAAAGGCCTTCTTCTGGGGGTGGGAAGAGGCTAGGACAAGACAAGATATGAAAGTGGGAAAAAACCCACCCCCAATGGGTGACATCCGCCCCCTCAGAAACCCCCCTCTGCAGCTGTGGGGAGGGAAAGCAAGGGGAAAGAGATCCTCACCGCACGCTAACCGCTAACAGCTCATAGTGTATGGTTAGTGGTGTGTGGAGGAGCACTGTGGTGGGCCCGTGGGGTGGTCTAGAGCTCTGCCAGACAGCGCCACCCATCCCACCCCAGAGAAAGTGCCCAGTGAGGCAGAAGAGTACGTTTGTCCCCCGAGGAAGGAGCCAAAGGGAGAGGCAGGTGTGTGCATGTGTGTGAGTGTGCATGCATGCACATGCATCCCTGGGTCCTTGTGGTCTGTTGGGGTGTCTGTGTGAGGTGAGCATCTATGTTAGGGCCTGTGTGGAGGGTTAAGCACGAAGGATTCTGTGGGCTGAAAGATGCCTGTGATAGATGTTATTTTTATCCATGGCAAGGAATGACGGGCCATTTTCAGAAAAGTCTTAAAAGGTCATGGGGACGGATTCTACAAATATTTCCTTTCTAAGGCTCACTGCTTCCTAAGATATCCCTGCAGCTGTTAACCGTCCCTGCTTGATTAAAGTTTCCAACTACCCAGGCCCCTCCCCCAGGCACCCTGTCAGGGCCTCCCCCAGATAACAGGCAGTGGTATGAGTTGGTGACTCCCTGGGGGCCTCAGGGGCCCGTGAGAGCGAGTGGGAGCGTGTATAGCAGCTGCTGGCAGGGTGGGTGGGGGCAGTCAGGGTACCTGTATCTGTGGTGAACGGGGTGGGGGTGCAGCATGTGTGTAAATCAACTGCAGGAAACTTGTAAGAATTCTGTAAACTGTAGCTAATGTCCCAGTTTTCAGAACCAGCACACAAGTGAACATGGCCTGGATGCCAGGTAAAGTGCCAAAACCAAGCTTCCAGTATGCGTTCAAAAAGAGTCCATGGGCTGGGGAGGGAGCTGGGACATGCTGAGCTGCACACCCACGATCCGTGGACGTCCTACACAGGCGGCTGCGTGTCTCTGCTCTAGCTCTTTTGGTGATGATTACGTATCTCCTTGTGACATTCTGCATTCTCTTCCATGGCCTTCTCTTGTGAATACAGTGTGAGAGTGGGATCCTTCTCTATCCCCATGTGTGTCACATGGGGTCTTTGTGATATAGACATTCACATTACCTTTCAAACCTGGACATCAGAAAGGACACCTGTAACTCCGAGCTGCACCTCACCCGCCCGGATGTCAGGACACCTGGAGGGTTTTCAGGAACTGAGGGGCCAGAGCCGTACATTTTGGCATTTCGAGGCCCATAATACCCTCTGAGATCCTAGAGGACAAACCCCAAAGCCCATTCCTCGCCCTCCCCTGACCTCACTGCTGCTTACTAGAGGGAGTGGTTGTTAAGGTGGACAGGAGGAGGGAGCCTGGCTCTGAGGGCAGCTGGGAAGAACGGGCCCTGTGGACAGGGGCTCATCTGTGTGAACTTTGGTGAAGTCCAGCCAACATCAAGAAGCCCAGGATGTCTCCAGAGACTCTGCAAGTCAGGTTATATCTGTCTTCATTATTCTAACGCACTGGCTGTGGGAGGCCCTAATCTGCAGACAGGCTGTTGTAGGCAAAACAATGGCCTCCCAAATGTTCACACTCAAATCCCCAGAACCTGTAAATATGTTACTTTACCTGACAAAAAATTTAAATGTGATTAAGTTAAGGACCTTTAGATGGGGAGATCATCCTGTTCTATCCCTGTAGGCCACTCTAATCATGTGAGTCTTTGAAAGGGAGAAGCTCTCAGAGCCGTGGGAAGAAAGAGATTCGACAGTGGAAGAAGGGGCAGAGAGATGCAGCATGAGATGGACTTCACCCAATTGCTGGCTTCAAAGGTGGAGAAAGGAACCATGAGCCAAGGAATGCAGGCAGCCTCTGGAAGCTAGAAAAGGCGAGGAAACGGATTCTCCCCTAGAGCTTCCAGAAAGGAACCAGCCCTGCCGACACCTCAACTTTAGTCCAGCGAGACCTGTGTCAGACTTCTGACCAACAGACACGTAAGATAAGAAACTTGTATTTTTTAAGCCACTAAGTTTGTGGCAGTTTGTTACAGCAGCAATAGAAAAGTTTCCTGAACTGTGAAGGAAGCATGATGCAAAGAACATGGTATTATAGATAAAGAAGCCAGCCCTGCCACGGTGTGTGGCTTTGGGCAAGTCACGATTTCCTGTCTGTAAAACATGGGATTGTCAGATGATGTCTGACATCAATCAAGGGTATGATGGCTGGAGATTATAGTAGGTGTAGATTTTAGCAAAAGCATCTTTAAAGTCTGTTGAAATAGCTCCAGAGTCAGGAGAGAGAACGGTGGGCCATCGATAGCACTGTTAAAGGGATTCGTGGCTCTTTGATCACTGAAGCCAAAGAGTGCTGGTGGGCCTCCCGTGACTACCTCAGGCCTCTGCTTGGTCCTGTCTTGAATGGTGACACAGAAAGCACATTCATATAGCTGATGCAGAGAGCTGTAAGGAAAAGCAAATACACCGAAAGGCAGACTCAAGAATCTAACGTTGCAGCAGGGCAAAATGACAGCTCCAAACCACAGAAGGAAGGTAATAAAGATAAATAATAATCGCTAGCATTTATTGAAAAATCAAATTTGGGGTTCAAAAAATAAATTACATAAGCTTAGGAGGGAGGGAGTCTGGCTTAACAATAGTTGATGTACAAAAATTTGAGCGGAAAGGTGGTTATCAGGCATTTTGGAGGCTCAAGGGATCTTAGTGAGCCCAACTCACCTATTTTACAAATTAGAAAACTGCGCTCAGTGGACTGTAAGCTCGTTATGAACTAATCGCGTGACTAGGAGGGCTTGTGACAAAAGGCTGCTCCATAGGACTACAATTCCTTTACTAAACACATCAAACATTGTACCAGCCACACCCACAGCCACTGTTAAGGGGGGCAAACCCCTGCTGATGGGGCAGCCCTAGACCCCCAAAAATGTGTTACGTGACCCCCACCTCCTCTGGCCTCACCTGACTGAGATAACCAAGTGGGCAACTGACTCAAGGCTGGCCAGTCCAGAGACCAGCCAGTGGCCTGTGGGAAGGCCTGGCCTGGAAATCAGGGATGATGTGAGCTTGTCAAATTTTCATTCTCAGGAATTTCAGTGGGAAAATACAGAGATAACCACTCAGTCGGCGGTGAGAGCTGAAGGTGAAAGGATGCACAGAGAGTCTGTGTCTGTCCACAGAGGAGAGTCCTCCATACGTAGCAGTGGTGCCCGGCTGCTGTCTCCCACACTTAGAACGGAGTGATTATCCTGGCAGGGGTAATCGAACCTGATTATCATGAGGAGATGGGGTTGCTGCTACAGAGTGGGAGCAGGAGGAACGTATCTGCGTGCCAGGGGATTCACGCGTGCCTCGTGTTGCTCCGTGCCTAGTGATACACTGACCACCAACGGGCCACTGTAGCCTGAAAAGGGTGCAGTATTCTGCCCTCAGATGCCTTGGAAATGATGGTCTGGGTTATCCACCAGGCAACCCAGCTAGACTAGCATCACGTGCTGCTTGAGAGTGAGAGGGGTCTAGAACGGACGGTGGAGGAGGACGGTGAAGAATCTCAGATGCAGCCTTAGAACTAACCACAGCAGTGGGGAGTGTAGCTTGTTCCACTAACGCTCCCGTTGTAAGTTTTTATTCCTCCTCCTCCTCCTTTTTGAAGAAATTGTGACCTTGAACAAGCAGTGACAGCATGAACTTAATGAGAGACATTAGTGAGAGTGGATCTGAGCAATGCACGAGCACTCTGTGCCTCAGCCATCCCTGTCCCCTCAGGCCTTACCACTTGGTGCACATCAGCCTGCCTTCCAACCACCAGCATCTTTGCCTACACCTTGTCTTTGGCAGGGGCTCTGCCCCAACACATGGCAGGCCAAAGGTGGGAGAATCAGTGCCTCTCCTAGAGCAGCTCTCAACCAGTGACTGGCGGAAGCTGGTATAAACACACCAGCAACCTCGCCTCTGGGGGCGCTGGCTCTGAGGAC